TGACAATATAGTTTGCTAGTCCTGGCAAGATTGAACAGATTATTAAATTCACTTTCCAAGTGTAGGTATTCCCAGTCTTTCTTCACTCGTGAAGGTGAAAAGAACAGGATATTTTCCCAGTTTAATCAAGTTTATGTTGCAAAACAGTATTTTCATTTTTACCATTTTGAATTCACCAACCTGGAGTATGTCAGATCATGTGTATATACATATGCACATAATATAGTATGCATTATTATCTCGTATTCAGAAAAGGTAGGTAGGCTCAGTGCAACTGCAAATACCTCCCAGTATTTTAGATGTTAGGATTAGATAATTTGGCAACAGGAAAGGACTAGACCTCTACAAAGGAAGAGCTAGCTGAAAGTAGGCATTCCATAAGTATCAAAGAGGGAATGAGGAGTAGTAGGTGATGCTACAAACGGAGGCATGGCAAATTCACACACAGGTGGATGGTTATATGTGGAGGTAATACTTCTGAGAGGTGAAATGATGAGGAGAAGGAAAGAGATTTCATAGCTGCATTTACTTTTGCAAACAGTCTGACTTCTTACTGCATATGTGTACTGTATATTGTGCTTTCCAGTCTGAAGAAGTACCTTCTGCAGCCAAACAAGATGATTTGGCTCTTGTCAGTGAACTCTGTCCATCTGCTAGGGTAACTTAGCCGCTGCCACTGAAGAATTTTGACACCTTAGAAATACAGTACTCAAACAGGCTTTTAATCTTGGATTGGGCCTGATGGGAGACCATCCATCAATGCTCATTGAATGCCCACTTGAACATCCCAATTTGCAGCAGAATCCTCCCTTGTGAGTGGCACACCCAGCAGTATCAGACAGCTACTCTGAGAAACGCACCTGGAAATGGGAACAGGGCCCTGGGACTTAAGTTCTCAAGCATATGCTTTCATGACAAGTTTGCTACATGAGAACATTTAGTCCTTTAAGTGGTTTGAATATAACAGCAAATGTAGGTCGGGTAAAGAATGAAAAGAAAATGGAAAAACAAGCAGACAAGGATGGGAAAATGTTTTTCTTACACAACTTAAGCAGCTTCTGTGACCATAAAATACACAGAAGTAGATTATCTTAAGTGAAATCATTACCTATTGATAGTTTTTAAAGTCATATTAATTTCTAATTGAAGCCAGGCAAAGTCAAATAATCTCTTTCACAAATTGAAATGGATGATGACATGCAAGAAGCTTTATCTTTGTGTGTTAAAAAAAAAATTAATGGAAAATCACTTACATCGCTTCTGTTGTTGTACAAAAACACCACTAGAATTTTCCCTTTGGCAACATTTCTCCTCAGCCAAAAAGATACTATCCTGTATTTGATACAGTGCCGTAGTTTGAATTGTTTGCCTCTCACTTCCACATTTGTTTGTCTGCATCCCCTTTCCTCAACAAAATCTCCTCAAACTCGGTAGAGCTGAGGTGGCCCAGCATGCTGTAAGCATTTATACTTAGTGTATTATACACCTTCATCATGATACACGAGGCAACATTTAGTGAAAGGTCAGGTAGCTTTCCATTCCTTGCAGGAATAAGCCTGATGCTTTTGCAGAGCTAAGAACCAGCTGCATGTGTTACCATTCACAGCACCAGATGCAGACAGCCTCTAAAAGGCACATAAATCTGTGCATTTTCCTGCAATCCCATTTAGCAATGTACTTACTGTTATTCTCCTTTTCATGGATGCAGCCTATTTACTTGTCATGGTGCTCTGGTGTTATACACCTACACTTGCCACTGTATACAAGGTTTGCACCCTGGCCGCACACACCTCCCACCCTTCTTTGGTTATGAGTGGGAGACAAGCAGGGGAGGGCAGAGCAGGAGTCTCGAGCACAATATGTGAGAGCTGGCAGGTCTGAAAACCACTGTGCACGTGTTACATCATGCAATGAGCTGGCTCCTTGTTCTCTTCCTCTAGCCCAGTGGCCACCGTGTCTAAAGTTACATGATCTGATTATTAAATTCACTTCTACAGAGAACCATATAGCCAATGGAAAAAAAAAGAAAATTGGCCAGAAAAGGTTTGCAAAACAGGACGTAAGGTTGCACTTCTGTCAGGGAAATTGGCCTCTAAGTATCATTGAAGTATTAATGGAAAAATGTTTTAAAGCATAGCTGATCTCAAAACAGCCTGCTACAAAACACAGTCATTAACTGGTTTTAAAAAGTTAACACGAAAGAACTGCTTTTTTAATAATAATGTAACAAGAGGCCAGCTCTTTAAAGAGGCTATGTGCTGGCTTCTATGTAATCATTGCAGTGTGTAACAGTTTAAAGCTATTACAGATCTGCTGGTTTAGGCTGTACATACATTTCCATGTATACAAACATCTTATAAAATCCTACCAAGTTCACAGGGACTAAAATGCAGAATTTAAGCCACACAACAAGCCAGGCTATCAGGACAAATAGGGATGAGTGTTAGGAATCAAATGAGTAGCATCTGGAAGGTCCATCTGCCAAAAGCAGATACAGGATGCCTTTCTAAAGTAAATAAAATAAATACAAAAAAACCCTGAAGAAACAAAGACCACGATCATAAGTGGCCTGCTGGATGGAGTGTTATTTGCAGTGCTACATGCTTTGCTTGCAGGGGTAGGTATAACAAGGACAGAGTGTGCATCTTCCTCCTCCTCTCTCCACCACAGAGCAACTCGGCTCAAAAGCAACCAGACTGAATCTCTCGAGGTGTGACTAATACGTGTCCAGCAGACCACACAGGAGACCCACCCAAAAGCTGCACACGTATTTGTTCCAATGCCATTTGGAGCACAAAGGAAAGCAAGGCTGTGATCAGCAAGATACAAGGCTTATCTACAAGAATTACAGATGTAGATACCTGCATGCCTGCTCCAGGCTGCTAATGGTGACCTCAGCCTACCTGTGCTTGTCCTAGACAAAGCCAGGTGAACAAGAGGAAAACTGGCCAACTTTTGTGCTTATTTCAGGCTAAGGCAGTTCCCTGATTGGTCTTGCTTGGTTCCCCCAGCCAGCTAGAAGAAATACCACATGATTCTGACTGCAAGAAAATCATTAGGATAATAATGCATAATGGATAATCTAGGACAATAATGCATAATAGATAATCTGTGCTTTGGAAGCCCCACCTTATCTGAGATGTCACAAACCTTTTAAAGTACCCATTCAGTAATTTGTTTTGCTTTGTAGCACTGTATCTGAGGTTTTTTACTGTGTTCAAATGCCACTCTTTTGAATGGGTGAAAAGAGGCACAGAAGTACACCCCATTGTAAGAAATCACAGTTAGGATGCTGTTAAACAATTACTTTTATAGCTAATTGATGTCAATGATCTAGCATGCGACAAAGCCTTGTTCCACTGTTTTAGTAACACATACAATACGAACATACACCTTTCATTCATGTGCTGGGAACATGGAAAAAGCTCTTCCACAATGTGTTAGCTAGTAAAAAAGGCAAAAGCTTTCAACACTTCCAGGGGGTCTAAACCAAATCTGATACATTTTTCCAGAGTCTAATTTTAATTTGTCATGTAACACGTATATTTCTTTGATGATAGCTACTTTTCTCAAAAGCACTATTACATGCTGCCGTTGAGAATTCACTCCTTTCAGAACGACCCCTCACAATACCAGATTTCGTAATTCTTTCACATCTTGTCCCGTTTCTGCCTAAAGATCTGAATGTCTCTGCACAAAGCAGATCCTTGTCCAAATAGGTGTTCTTTAATCACAGAAACACAGCAGAAATAATAAAAACCATTTGGTTGATTTACTGTGAAAACGAAGTCCGGACAGTGCTCGTTGTAACATTACACTGTCGTGTACAGCAAAAACCAGCTGCTAAAACTCTCCTGGTTGTATAAGACAACCTGAACAACTGATCAGAAAATTGGCACCTAATGAGGTTCTTTGCTGTGGAGTTCATCACTTTAACATCCTACAGCGAAGCCTTGGTAGAAAAGCTGTTTTGCTACAGAGCAAAGGGGAAAGAGTAACTCCATCTGAAACGTGGTTAATTTTCTAGTTAAATTAGAAAATCTAGCAGTAGTTTCAGGTATAACAGATGAATAATCTTGTGTGCAAGAGACAAAACAAAGCAAGCTGTGCTTAGGTCTCAGACAGCACAGGTTTTTCCGCCTCGTGGCTTGTTGTGCCCTTCGTGTGAAGCTACCCTGTGCTTATTTAGCATTTCTACTTGCTGACTAAAACCAGGTCCCACGGAGTGCAACTCTAAGAATCAGACTAAATGACAAACCCTAAGTTGTGAAGGGGCTGGGTAGCCATTTTGGTGGTGGCAGCCATCTTGGGGCAGAATAGATTGAAATAGCTGAATTTCCAGAAATGACTAACATATTGCAAATGTGATCGTTTTAAGATACTCCTTCCAGTTGTCAGCCACTGTGCTAGAACTGGAGGCAGATTATGACAATCTATTGCACTATGATGCGTGACCGTAAGAGGGAATATTTTCTGCCACACATGTTTGGGCTCTTAATTCACAAAACACCAGAGATTAAAGTATAAGTTACTTGCAGAAACCTCTTTTCAAAGCCATGAGGTAAATCAAGAGCATACACTGTAGGAATGCTGACTCTGAAGATCTTATTGCAAATTTAATATGCGATGAAGTCTGTAAACGTTAAGTACTTACACATGGAAAGCACACAAGCACATCACCTTTAAGGAGAACACAGCCTCATTTGACATATAAGCCAAATGCATGATTTGAGAATCAGGTTGCGCTTGTGATTTATTTCCCCTGCAAGAAACTTTAACCACTCAGGGCTTCATTACAGCAGCCACTGCTCGTGTTGGCGTTTTGACACTCAAGATGCACCCAGGTATTCATAAGGAAGAAGGGAGATGGTATTTGGTGAAGAAGGATGACGGGAATACTGCGGAAGCAAGGCTGCAGCTCGCATTTGGGGTGTGCGGGAAAAGGATATGGTCACAAGGGAAAGCAAAAGTACCCGTTAGGAAAGTTATCTTTGCCATTTTATTTTTCAGATAGGCTTAAGAAAGGCTGAAGTGACAGAAGAGCGAGATGACAGCAGGAGCAGGAATCCTCAAACACAACCTCAGCAACAAGATTGATGAGCAAGGCTCACAGATTATAAACGAGGGAAAACGATAGCAACCTCCGAGGCTGGAGACAGCACGTAAGAAGCACCGCGATGTGGAGCGGGCACCGTGCTGCTGCTGTGATTTATCACCGCTCCCACCACAGGGTAGGGCAGGGCTCTGACAGCCGAGAAGCCGCTCTAGATGCGGAGCGGCGAGGCAGAGAAAAGCCAAGGGGAGCGGCGCGATGCACGAAGAAGGGCCCTCGCCGCTGAAGTTTGGGTAAGCGAAGGTCAAACGACGCGACACGAGGGCGCATCGCGGAGCTCCGCGAGTGCCTCAGCCCGCCGACAGCCGCGGGGTCCGGGGAGCGGCCCGGCCTGGAGCCGGCCAAGACCCTTTCGATGTGGCGCCGTGAGGGCGGGCGGAGGGGCGAGCCGGCGGGGGAGCAACAGGCGGGGAGCAGCAGAGCGGTGGCTGAGGGGAGCGCCCTCCCCCTGTCCCTCCATCCGTCCCTCCCGCCCTCTCCCTCAGGGCTGCCCGCTCCCGCGCGCGGCGGGACCGTTAAAACCGTTACAGCTCCCACTTTCGAACTGATTCAAACTCGGCAGCCGCACGGCCCCTCCCGCCGCCCGCCAATCCTCACCCCCCCCGGCCCCCCTCCAACCCCTGCACAACGGGAGGCGGCGGAAGGTTCCAACTGCTGATTGGCTCAGGGTGCGTGTGCGGGGTGAATCCGGCAGGCGGCGCTCGGCGCTCGCCCGGATTGGGCCGCCGCGTTTGGCGAGGGGGAGGGAGAACGGGCGGGCGAGCGGAGCGGAGCTGGCGGCGGCCGCGGCGGGGCGGCGGCGGGAGGCCGGGCCGGCGGGTGAGTGAGAAGCCGGCACCGCGCGGGTTCGAGGCGTTGGCGCCGGGAGCGGTTATTTATAACCGGTGCTTTATAATAGGGGGGAGGGGGAGAAGGGGGGCGACGGCTCCCGGGGAGCAGCCGCCTCTCCCGGCCCCCTTCCCTTCTTCTCCTGGGGGGCGGTGGCGGGGAAGGGTGAGGGGGGTGCGGCGGCGGCGACACAGGCGCGCTCCCGGCCGGTGACAGCTGGAGCGGAGACATGGAGTCTGAAGTGCCCTTTGTCTAAGTTGGCTCCGTGCAGCCCGGCCGGCCGCTCCCGTGCCGACCCCCGCCCGGCTGGGGGTGAGCTCGTCCTGCCCCCTCCTTCCAGGGGTGAAGGGTGGAGGGAGAACAGGGAAGACCCGGCGGTTTCCTTCCCTTCCTCCCCGTTCCTGCCGACCGCATGCGGCGGCTTCAGGCGCCGTGTGGTTGAAGGGGCAGAGCGGAGGTACATGTGCGCCTAACGTACGCCGGGTAAGGACTCGCCCCGGTGGTGCGAACGGCACAAAGCTCCCCGCCGCCGAGGCGGGCTCCAGGGAGGGAGCTCGGACAGGTCCACTCCGGGCTCGGGTGCTCTCAGCCTCCCGGAAGCCGGCATTCGGCGGGGTAAGCCGGGCGGGGAGGCTGAGCGCGCCCCGGGCCGCCCGCCCGCACTCCAGTGCCCTGGAAGCCGGTGCTGGTTTGGGGATCGGCGTCCGGCGGGGTCCCCTCCTTTCCTTGGAGGGTCCCGTTTTAGGGAGGGAGTTTGAGGGCGAGGCGGTAAATCAGTCTGGTAGTGGCTCCGGCGAACTTCCTATCTTAAGGATTCGCAGGGCACCGTGCGATCCTCATCTTCCAGAGCGCCGCAAGAAAAGTTCATAGGGAGCTGAAAATCGCGGGGTTTGGATCTGATGTTGCCAAGCACGGGTCAGAACGCTTTCTAAAACTAGGGTATCTGGGGAGGTGTGAAGGAGAGCACTGAGCAGAGCTGTCCTAGAGCAACAGATGTGTGACTAGATAAAGCCGAAAAAAATCGGCGTGTTGTGGTTACAACATTAGATTTGACATTAGCAGGTATTCGTGGTAATTTGGAATTAGTGATTAGCAGACAAAAGAAAAGCAGTCGGTACACAGATGCAGCAGGAATGGGGTACTAAACTTGTACATTCCTCAAGATACATATTTCTAACTTAAGAAGTGCTACCTTTGTTTTATTGGGGCTAGAGAAAAGTTTGCGTGTTTTTTTTTATTAAATGTAGAGCTGGAAGTTCAGATTCTTGATCTTTCTGAAAAGAAGCCTGTAACAGTTTGAACAAGGTTGTTTAATTGTTGGAGGATAGGTTCATCTTTGTTTAAGTCTAGCAACTGTAGTTTCAGCTATTATGGGTTTATTCTTACTAATACAGATTTCAGTGAAGAATTTTACCAGGATTTTCAGTGTAATCTTCATAGACAGGTTAATTTTATTTTATGGTTTTTTTTTAGGGGCTGGCACATTCAGGTTCTATGTGATTTATAGAAATTAAAAGGTCGTTCTTTGTTTGTCCGTAGTGTCTATATCAAATTGAGAGTCTGGGGAATGTTTATTTGTGGTTAACAATAAAGCATCTTCATAAGGGTGAGTATTACTTGTACATAGCGTATTATAACTACTCTCACTTTAGATTATTAAATTGAGATTGTTAAAGATCTACAGAGTCTTTCAGAAATTTGCTTCTATGATTTTAGGAGATAGGACTCAAAAGTTTAGGGTGACATGTCGAGTGCTTTTTAACTTTGAGAACCAGTGCTTTATCAAGATTGTTACATCAAAAATGTTACATTTCTTCTGGGGTTTCCTTTACCAAAAATAAAAAAGAGAGGAAAAATAAATTATGTTTTTTCCTTCCTCTGTCTACACGAGGAATGAAAGTAACAATTAACCAACCTCTGGAGAAATATGTGACAGCAAAATATTCCGTGAGATGCCAACACTTCTTTTAATCTGGAACTTTGGAAGAATTCGAGTTTCTAGCTTAGGACACAAATTGTTGAAAAAAATAAATGTTAGTTTTTTAATATGTGATTCCACCCTGACACTGAAAATCCACATCATCAAAAGGTCATAAAATGTCTTTGCTCAGTTTGAAACAAGCTAATGTGGTAGTGTGTAAATTTAGGCCACAGACTTGAATTTCAAGCTCAATTTTTTCCCCCTTTCTCTATATTTTTAACTCTCCTGCTGGAATTGCCACAGCTGAAATAGGGTGATTTTGTTGCAGATGTGCATTCAAATGGATTTTTGTTTCTTCTGTAACATTGCAACATTCCTAGGTGAAATGTAAATATACTCCTGTACTTCTGCTTACCTCCAAAGAAATTTGGGCTTAGCAAGAAAGGAATTTCTGTAGAGCATTATTGACTGCATTAACTGCATTATACATAGAGTGCAAGCTAACTGCCACTTTGTGTAAAGCAGTTCATGTCAGAATAAGCTACATCTGACATCCAGTGCACTCCAGCAATGCTCCCAGAAAGTTGGTGCACTCCAAAATTGCTTTTGAAATTAGACAAGAAAATCTGTTCTTGTTACCATTCGCAAGAAGATTCAGCCTCTTGCTGTGTGTATCATGTACGCGTTCACAGCTATAATGTTGAAATGGAATGATTTTAGGTGACTGTACTACTTTCATGTGATTGAAGAGAGTTCTTTTTAAAAATGGCTGTAGTACTGACAGAAGGTGGATTTAATAAGTGTTTGCTTTTTATTGTATGTGAGCAAAAGGGCTGTGGGAAACTTTAAGTGTTGGCTATAATCTGAAAGTTCTGTAGCTCTGCAGTTAGTGTTTATAGATGCATCTTAGCTGACTTGAGAAGTGTCTGTGAAACTTAATGGTGGGGGTGGTATGAAGTTTTCCCCAGCAAAGATGCTGAAAAGCTCAGGAGCAGGACCTGGCCTTTGTTATGCAAGGGATTTTACCGAGTCAAGTAGGTCATCTTCACAGGATGAACTTTCCAAGCAAAATTCAGTTTATCAGATTTTTAAAAACATGGAGAAAATGGACTGCAAACTGTAAATGTATTTCTTAATGCTTTGCTGAGGTGTTTGAATAATACTTGTATTAGGAAGCAAGCCCTCTGTTGACAGAAGATGTAGCAGAGTAATTGGAGGTTTATTTTAATGTTAAAGATGCTACCAGCCTTCTGTTCCTGCTGTCAGTAAGGTCCATGGAAAGAAGTGCTGGGCCCTTTGAAATGTCTGAAGACAGCATCTATGCTGTCTGTATTTATAAAAGTATTTATACATGTATCTATACATTTAGCGTCTATATATGACTTGCACAGCTGTTCTAGAGTGGCTAAGTCGATCTTTAAATGGGCGAGTTACTGCAGTACTGACATAGTTTAGGTTAGAACTTCAGTTAAGTGGCAGGGTCTGGGAGGAAGAAAGGTGAGACAAAGAAAAACCTTGTATAAAACGGATGCAAAACAGGGAGAGGTGCTTCCCAGGGGATTGATAAAAACATTGGTTACAAGTTAGCAGAGTGCTTGGGTTTGTTTGTTAGCTCTGAGTATATACCCAAGAGTTTTGTTGAGCTAAAGATTGAAAGGAAAACAATGTACAGAATTACTAGGCAGGTATTCTGTCTGTTCTTGTGGAGACCAGTTAAAGTCTCTGGGATGATGCTGTGTATGTCTGTTTATGGATGAGGTGAAACTGAAGAGTGAAATCTGTTGGAGGAGGGAGTAGTTTCTATTGAGCTCCAAGCAAGAAACAGTGAAGTTTACTAAACCAGTAGTGACAGTGCTGCTTTCTGTAGCTGATCATAGTAGGTAGTTTGATTGTTAAAGGCTTTTTTTCTAGTTGTGTGCCTAGATTTCCATTAAGATGTGTCAGACTGTGGGCTTGAGGTTTGGATTGTCAGCGGAAGGGAGAAATCTGTGATATTATGGTCTAAATATGTTTTCTGAATTAAAAGGATAAAATAACACTGGTAAGCTTGGGTAAAGACAACTCTTAAGAGTGAAAAGTATAATTTGCATAGAGCATTGATTAAATCAAGCTTCTTTTTAACATAGTAAAAGAGGAATTATTCTTCAATATATAACTAGTAATTTTAGCACAGTCTTGCAAATTGGTTTTCATGTAAAAAAAAAAAAAAAAGGTGGAAGAGGATGTCTGTTAATGTCTCTGCTGCCTCCAGAAAAAAAAATGTAAACACAAACCAAACCCCCCCCCCCCCCCCCCCCCCCCCAGATGAATGTGGGTCGTGTCCTTATTTTAGGAATCTTTTGACTACCTGACAAAGTGTGCATATAGGGTTTTTCAGCATTTGTGCTTCCACTCAATTTGTGAGTAATACTGTTGTCTTGGAACAGTTTATAACACATGCTATGCTTCCTTTCTAATGGTAAAAGCAGTAGTACTTTTAAGGTG